GAGAGCAGCTTGGAAGAGAGGGGCGGGGTCAGCAGAGCTCATTAACATTTAAAGGAAAATGCTACAAAAATGCGTGCTCTGAAAAGAGCTGTTTTTGACAGGGTAAAAAAGGTGTTTTTTACACTACCATTGAGAAATTTTAACCAAACTATGTTACAGACTTTTCATTAAGACCCTAAAGAATCATATCAATTTGTAGAAAATGGGCATCCTATGACCCCTTTAAAGGGGTCATATGATTCTATTTTAAAGATCATTATTTTGTGTATTTGGTGTAACAGAATATGTTGACATGCTTTAATGTTCAAAAAACACATTATTTTTCAAATACTGTACATTATTGTAGGTCCTCTATGCCCCGCCTCTCTCAAACACGTCGTTTTCAACAAAGCCCCCTCCTTTGACAAGCGCAGTCTGCTCTCATTGGCCAGCTGACCCAGTACATTGTGATTGGCCGAACACCGCAAGCAATCGCTGTTCCTGAAACCACGCCTTCTTTCTTTGCGTGCACATTTGGGCGGCATTATGCTAATATTTCCACATAGTGATGTAGATATGTGGGGGCGTGTTAGAACGAGCCGTTTTAGGTAGGCGTGGCTGACTCTTAACTTTTATAACGAATATCTCTTTGGATTTGAGACTTTAGTCTTTGCAACTTTACAGATGTTCTTTATGCACCAAGAGCTTGTAACACTCCAAAGAGAAAGGAAAACTTGAAATCGCATCATAGGACCCCTTTAAGAAGACTTCTGTGAATCAGGCCCATGACTACTTTGAAAATCTGCACGATATCATTAATGTACACAGCACAAATACAGGAAGTTACACACCTAAGCCTGAGCAATAGTAATAGTGATTACTACTTCCTTTAAAAACCAATAAATGTCAGAAACCCTGTGACATTTTTTATGTAAACATGTTTATTAATCTTTTCAGCCACAGTGATCTACCGGTTGCAAATGGTTCCTCTGAGTAGAAGAAACCACAAGCAGACCTGAATGATTTGGCTTACAATCCAGAGAAACTGTACAAAAAAGGTTTGTATTACGCATTTGTACAAACAACTGATGCTTTCAGCAGTGAATGTAATAAGATATTCAGCACTCTGACTACAGCATGTTTGGCAAGCCTGAAACATTCAAACCCACTGCTTTAAAGAGTAAATTACAGGCACAAACACACACACAAGGTAAAGCTGTAAAAAGCGTACATTTGTAAAAACACACACCATTGTGTCAAGATGACAGCTAACAGTAGAATATGCAAACGCTCTCTCTCTCCAACACATACACAAACAAACAAACACAGGTTATTATAAAAGGGAATGCACAGTCTCAGCTAAAGCAACGGGGCCCACTGAGAGGCAGGAAAACAACCACATTCACACACAATGAAGCAGATTACTGGCTTACAAAAATATATTCACAGCTGCCCACTGTAGCTCTATGGCACATTTAACATAAGATGAACTGTCTCAGTCCATCACACACGGCCTTCCCATAGTCAAAATCATCACATACAGGGATTAAACCTGCTCCTGAAATAACTCTTCTGCGTTCACTGACAGTCCTTAAAGTAAGTCCCAGACAAGGCTCAATGTGTTTCCTGAAAACCGGCTTTACATGGTGAAAGGAAAACAAACCCAATGCAAATCGGAAAGGCTGCACTGCTGCATCGGAAACCTGAGAGGCATCACACTCCAGGGACGACAGGGCATCCTGAAAGCATTGCTGGTAAACAACTTAAACATCAATTTAGGTACCCGTCCAAACAAAATGAAATCTATGAATGAATTATTAATATTTCAGATCAGTGTCCCAGGTGATCTGAATCATAATTTGCTGTCAGAACCGGTTTAAATTCAATGGATTTTGGAGGATTTCAGTCTTGACTTTTACACATTCATTGATTGAGGTTTACAAACCCAGCAACATGCAAAGAACAAAAAGCCTGGAGGATTTTAAAAAGGGACTATTCTACAATTAAAATAGATGCAGAATTACAATCTTACCACTCTTCACCTAAACAATCATTATAGGTTTGGCAGTAGATTATGGGTCGTCAGGAATACAGTTTTACAATCGAAAGATCTAGCTCTCAATAACTGCTGGCTCCTCCTCCTGGCCTCTCTCATTGGTTGAGCCCAATGGGCCGGCCCACCACAGCACCAGAGCGTTGTCCTGTCGAACGCCGTTTGATGACATCACATTCCCCTCAACTGAATCAGACTCAGAGTCCTCACTGTCAGACGGCCAACAGAACTTACGCTGACCACTGGACGAAGCCACCAATGGCATGAAAGGGTGCACGCTGTAGAGATGAGGGAGTAAGAAAAAAGGGGGTAAAATTAGCAATATTTACTCAATTGCATTTAATTATTTAGCAGATGCTTACGTTTTCACAGTTGTGTTAAAGATGCGATGCTGTCAAATTGATCGTAAGTGTCTGTAAAGACGTTTACATTGCTACAAAAAAGATTTCAAACAAATGCTCTTCATTTTTTACTTTCTATTCTTAAAAAAAATAACAAAATATTAAGCAGCACTACTGTTTTCAACAGTAATAATAATAATTTTTTGAGCTTCAGATAAGCATATTACAATTTCTAAAGGATCTTGGAGTAATGGAAAACAGTTATTTTTAAACTAATAATATTTCGCAAAATTAATGCAGCCTCTGTGAGCGTAAGAGACTTCTTTCAAAAATGTTTAAAAACCTTACTGATCCCCTTTTTTTCAACGGTAGTGCATGAATACCACATGAATTGAAAATATGCTTTTTAAGTTCTTAGTAAAAAGTACAAATTATAATATCTCTAATTTTAATAAATGTATTTCAGAGAAGACTAAAGGCTGGGTAAGGGACAAACCCAAAATAGAGAAATTAGGAAAATGAATTACAGAGCCACAATAAAAAGGTGAAGTGATTATCCATAAAAGCTATGATTTTTAAAGAGTTTATGAACTTTACATTTTATATATCACTAAGTTTTTAATTTCATACATTTTATAAATGTTATTTAAATTATACCTGATGCCATTAGTACAATCAGTGTGCGCCTGAAACTGCAGCAGAGGTTGTAGTGGCTCCTCGTTCCCATCAGGTGGCGCTGTGAGGGTGTCCCACACTGACACCACACCATCTGTGTCCCCACTCAGTAGATATCGGCCAGATCTATTTCAGACACACAAATATCAACATCAGCAAAGCATAAATGGATCTAATAAGTAAACTGGTATATCTTTATCTTACTGGTCCAGGTCAAAGTAGATACGCTGGTTTGTATTGACGTTCCTGTGCATGGAGAACAGAACTTGTCCCAGATCTCTAAGGTCCCAGCACAGGATCTCTGAATCCTGAAAGCAGTGACACATAACATTAGCTGGACAATTCAAAACATGCAACCAAATAACAGCACGTCTGATTGGTGGATGTATCCGTCATACTAAATTTGGCTATATAAACCTGTTAGGGACAGAAGTACAGCACATATGAGCCCACTGACCTTGCGGCCGCCCGTGTACAGGTGATAGCCGTTGGGTGAGAACAGCAGGTGTGTAAGGCCTCCGCGGTGTCGAGTGGGCAGCAGAGCCAGCAGAGAACCGTCCTCACAGGAGTAGAGGCCGGCCGAACGGGAGTACGACCCACAGGCGTACATGGACTGGCACGAACTGAAGGCAATACAGGAGATAATGCCAGTCTGACCCTGTTTCTTGACTTAAAAAAGGTATGAAATGAGCGGGAAGAAAAACAGGAACAACAGTTACTTGTAATCAGTTTGGTTTCATATTAGAAAACCAAGAAAAATCATTGAATAATGAGAAACTACAAAACGAAGTGTCCAGACAAGGAATAATTTTTTCCAGACAAGGAAAAGCTGACTTTACTTAGTCAAAGCTAACAACTAATTAATATAGAATATAGAATTAATATAGAACAATTAAAATAGAATTCGTCTGATGTGCAATCACTACTGTTCAAAAGTTTGGAGTTGATGTTTTTGAAAGAAGCCTTTTATGTTCACCAAGCCTGCATTTATTTGATAAAAAAAAAAAAAACAGTAAAAACATGAATAATATAAAATATTATTACAATTTAAAATTACTGTTTTCTATTTGAATATATTTTAATGTAGTGTATTCCTGCTATGGCAAAGCTAAATTTTCAGCAGCTATCTTTAGTGTCACATGATCCTTCAGAAATCATTCTAATATGCTGATTTGGAGTTCAGGAAACATTTTTTTTTATTATCATTGATGAAAAAGAGTTGTGCTACTACTACTACTAAAACATTTTTGATTGAGATTTTTTGATGAATAGAAAGTTCAAAAGAACAGCATTTATCATCAATCATTTGTAACATTATAAATGTATTTACTGTCACTTTTGATCAATTGAGTGCATCCTTATTGAATAAAGTACAGTACAGTATTAATTTATTTAAAAAAAAAAAATTTCTGTACCTACGGTAGAATATGTATATCAGCTGCTCCATGACAACTTGGTATGTAAACATGGAACTACATTATCAATTTTACAATATCATTTTTGAGTCTTTTTTTGTAAATAAAATGTTACATATTTTGAAGGTTTTTATCTAATCAAGCCAGATGTTTTATGAAAAAAAAAGTCTCTTTTCATTTGCATCCAATTTTAAAAAACAAACAAAAAATATATAATATAATATAATATAAATAGTAGGCGGCATCTTTCATCAGTCTGAACAAAGATCTTTTATGTAAAATCCAGACCATTAATTAATTACAATAGCAGTGTTGAAACACTATGAATGAGTCAGTCACTACAAACATGCTAAGATAATTATATCCACAGCTACTGTCTAGATCAGAGGCATGCATGCCGTGTTAGCTTAATCAAGCCAAATATGTGTTTCCCGCCATGAATGTGTTTGGAACAAATCCACCCTAACAAACAAAAAGAAATGAAATAGGATTACAGGCATTCCACACCCATACCAGCCAGCCAGCCGTCTTAATGACCCCAATTAAGAAGCGTTTGAAGAGTGAGAGTGATTGATGTAGTGGTTATTCTTCTACAAGAGGGACCCTCACCCATGGTGGGCCTCTGCTCGCAGTCTCTCCCAGGACGGTCGGTGTGGAAGACCCTGACGATTTTGTCAAAGCCACAGTAGAGCTGAGAGCCGTCAGGAGAGAAACACAGCGAATGGGCCGCTGTCAGCTCATCCAGGTGGTTGTAGGGTCGAAAAGATGCTCGGAGGTCCCCGTAAAACGCGTCCCATATGTGGACGGGGTTGTCTCGGCTACTGCTGGCAATGCTGAAGGGAAAAGAAAAGAAGAAAACGGGAATATATTGCAAAATCTTAAAACTTTCCCCAATGAAATCTATTGTTTTGGGAAAAACAAGAGATTGCAACATCAGACTTGACAGTAAGACTGGCTTTCTTTCAAACTCACAACACAAAAGACCCATTCACAATAGATAATCTAACAAATGAAGAGCTAAACAATTTGAAGTGAAAGACGATGTCTACTGCTAGATAAAAAAAAGGAGGCATATGAGTACATGCCATTCAAAAGTCTGGAAAATCCCTATACAAGAGGTTTTGGTATATCAGCATGAATCTTTATTATTTTGTGATGACTTTGCATTGATAAGGGGACAATACAACGTATTAAAACAGTTTTTTTTACCTAAATTCAAGTTTTCAGAACACTGAAAAATACTAGAAAAATCCTGTTTATAAATCATCTCTGTGCTTTGGGATGGAATAAAACAATGCAAGTTCTCATGTGAACACTTAGATAATACAATGTTTAAATACGATGCTACTATTTTACTGTAAAACTGATAAATTATGGGGGGGTTCACTAAATTCAATGGAACACGTGGAAAATGATCAGCAAGTCACATGAATTTTTTGCTCACATTCTTACAGTGTGGTCACATTAATTAATGCGCGACAAAATTTTGCAGACAAAATCCAATCATTCCAATAAGTTTTGCTTGAGTGCGAAAAACTTCCTTGTGCAGATTTTGATCAAGTTCAAGTTTATCATGTGAATTGAAAGCTGCTTGTTTTGAAAGTAACTTATGTGTGCTGTGCTTTATACATCACTACATTATCGACAACAGACCTTTTATGTCTAAATTTTGCTAATGTGACCACACATTTAAGGCAAAGTAAGTCCATTCGTATTCCCAATTGTAAGAATTCCTATTGAAATGATTTGATTTCGTGTGTGAAAATTCACTGAACAGCGGTAAGTGTCACTGCACCTTTAGGTACTTTATTAAGCGTTAAAGTAAGTCATCACCATATACTGCCATTGAATTCAGTCTACTCGACCGGGTATTTATTAAATGATCTCCACTTGTGTTTCACAGAATAATGTCAAATGGGTTCGGAATGACATGAGGGTGAGAAAATGAAGTCAGAACTTCTATTTCTGGGTGAACCATTTCCTTAAGTACAGATCCGTCGTTCTGTCTCAACAGGAGGGCAACATAGTTTAAAAGTGTATAATGAGAAACGACACCAAAATGACTTGAGTCGAGATGGAGGAAGTAAATGACCTGAATACTAAGCACCTCCCCTGGAGGGAACGGCCAATCATAAGTCAGAGATAATGATCAACCCCTGTGGACATTCAAGCTGCTCTTCAGCCAATGGCAGCAGTCAGAACATTACGCTACGAATGCCTAGAAGAACTTTGCTCGGAAACTGCTGCGTTTCATAATGCTTCAAAAATACCTGTAAATAATATCACTACAACCAGACACAAGATGACAGATTATTACTGAGCATGTCTCGTCTGACTTCTTTAACCTCATCCTCTTCATCTTTAGGAGTTCTTTATGAAGTTACAGTTTCGTCCTTGACCCACGACTTGTCATTCCTTCATTTTCTTTGTCATTTTCGGTCGCTGCAGGGCGGATTCTGTAATCCCAAACAACGTTTGATCAGAACTGACGCTGCGTGTGGGTGAAACAGCACATGCCACAGTTAACGAGCCCTTGTTAGTAACCTGCCGCAGCTATCCGTGACGACTGGCATTGATTTGGACTGATTTCTGTTCCATTGCCTTTTGTCCCACAAAAACATAACCATCAGGAGTACATCATTAAACGAGAACTGAAGCGACAAGAGGACTGGAGAGGAAGAATAAGAGGCCACTTACTTCCTCCCTAAACAATTCTAGCACTACTTTTAGTAAACCCTAACACACACATAGTTATTTACATAGAGAGAGAGCTGGGAAAAATAACATGTCAATTTCTGTGAAATTATTAGCACTGCATCAATTTTCACCTCCTGAGGTAGCTATGCTAATGTCTTTTTTTCACAACCTTGCACTAGAGTAACAGTATATGATCACACTTACTGTATTAATTGCGAAAATGAATGCACAAAATCAATGAATGGGAAAAAATTAACTGACAGAGAGCTGACCGAACTCTGACAGAGGCACATTTGTGACCCTGGACCACAAAACCAGTCATAAGGGTCAATTTTTTGAAATTGAGATTTATACATCATCTGAAAGCTAAATAAATACAGAGTTCTGGCATGAAACTCTAGATGGCGCAGTCTGATAGGTCTGGCTCAATCTGACCTGGCGACATCATTGTCACATTGCAGCTGATTGGTTCTCTCCTGTATCGGTAGCCAATGAGCTTACTGCTCAGTATTCAAATACCTGGCTTTTGTTTGCTGTAGTAGTTTGCAGCCCACTTCAGAAACCCTCCACCTTCCTCAGCTCCACCTGTATAGATCTGCTACGGGGTTATTAATGTATGCTGTATGGGGTTATTTCATGTATGTTATATTTGCAGCAGCAATATTTCTTACATGCTCGCAGCAGCATGTTGTGGATGTATTGGCAGTAGCAAGTCTCGGTACTTGCTCTGCCGCAGCAGCAGCAGCGTAGC